TAAAACCCCAGAAAGCTGGCTTCAGATCTTCAGGTCATCTCTGTAACCTTAAATAGTTATTCAAAAACCACCTCTGGGTATTATTTAAGAATTAAGCACTTCAAAACTTAGGACTGTGAGGATGCAGCTTGACCAGATTGACTGACAGTGACCGAACAGCTGCCATCAGATTATACATTCGATATTGCCAAATGCTGATTTGTGAGGGGAAAAAAGGGAAACTAGTTTAAAAGCACATGGACTGTGGCCCATTTGGCTTTACAAAAAATTTAAATTGTTAGTGTGCCGTTAGCTTAAGCATATTGCCTTTCTCTGTTCTTGTGACTTAAATGAAGATCAGTTTCATTTTGCGACCAGTAAATACAAAAAAACAGCTCATTCCAAAAGGCCTGCTTATGTTTCTTTCCTTTCTATTTTTATTATATTTAACATTTCATGCATATTTTTCCTTTCTTGATAAAACCAGTTTCCTTTAGAAGGTAATATTGGTATATAAAAGAAGACCTCAGTCTGTTAAATCACTAAATGATCATAGACCGTGTATGTGGAGCTTGCTAACCTGAGCGTCCCAGTGTAGCAGCATCATAGGATATGGGAGACTTGAGGTTGACTCTGACATTTCTCTTTGTCATGATGCTAACTAAGCCCCTTACCAGAGGCCAGTGAAACACAATAGGAACGAGCCAACAACCTACATGTCTCCGCTGGGTGCTGGGGATCCCACTGAGGTGACATTTTCCTGCCAGTGTTTTTGTTGTGTTTTGTCTTTTTCACATCACCCATCCAATAGCACCTCCTCTTGCCCCCACACACCATGTGCAAAACTTCAAACGACAGGATCAAAGCAACCTTCATCACACAGGCAACTACAGACGATGGCAAATGTCAGATATTGTTACTGCCAGCTTTTTCAGGGGGACAGAGTGCATAAAAGTGGGGCTGGTCAGTGGCTGCAGGGGGCCGAGTGGCTTGAAACAGTCCGTCATGTTTTGGTTAGGCTTTGCGGCCACTCTGTGTCATTGTCTGGCCCTGGTCCACACTGTGCTGGACGCTTTGTTCACAATGTACCAGAATCAGTGAAAACACAGCTCCCTGTTTTACTGACATGACAGAGGCTGCAGGCAGGTTGTAAACCTTCCCTCACTGAATCGACCAGTGTTTTCTGCTTGTACATATCATTGTTGTTGTGATGAGTAACCTTGCCATGAGAACCACTTTGAGCTTTGTGGGCATAGTTAGTCTCACGTCTCTTGGGTCCCTTGCAGACAAGCAAATCGCCCGTGATGTCTCCTCGCTGCCCAGGTTCCAGTATCGAATTCTCAGCCAGCTAAAGCAGCAGATGCAGCTTTATTTTAAGGTCTGATATTCGCTGATGCTGTGAGAGCTCAGCACATTGCTGGAGTGTCTGGCTGAGGTGCCCTGCAGCAGGACGGCAGGACCCCTAAAGGGTCATTTAGGTCGACAAGCGAGGATGCAAATAATTGCACCTGTCCACCTGGTTTGTCACAACCTTCGGTTCTCCTTGTTAGAGAAACACCTGCACAGGCGGGCAGAGAGCCAGACTCTCAGCACAGATGCTCTCGCCTGTCAAAGCTGCAGGATCCGACTCATTTGTGTAAATATACTCCTTTTTATTAGGCCCAGTCTCACAGGACGGTGTAACAGACAAACTGTCAAACTAATACTTGTGCCCTAGACCATGAAATGAATGAAAACAGTAGACTACCTGTGTCTGCAGTTTATGGTGACAGTAATACCTGTGTATTAAAGTGCACCATCTTAATGAAGCCTTAACATTCATTTGTTAATGAGGAGTCAAGTAGTGAACACCCAGAGTCCCATCTCGGGTGAGCCAGACCTCAGAAAATGAACCACAGCCAAATGTAAGTGCAGCCACAGTGAACAGCTCAGCTTAACCCTCGGCCCTTCACTTATTTATCCCATTAGATTATAAAGCCTTCAATATCTGTAAAATTGCAGCTGCACAGCCACCATTTTCTTTCTGTGTTGCTGAATAAGAAGAAAATGACAAAATTAGACCATCAGTTGGATGAGCCACTGATCTTCGGTGTGGTGAGCGAAGCATTGTACCAGGCTCCATATAAACACAGAATGATGACAGTCACAAAACAAATGATGCTACTTCATTGAGGCCAAGTTAGTTTCACTGTGTAAATCTTTAGGGCAAATTTATCCCCTTAATAAGTGAGTTATTGGTGTACAGTATATGAGAACTGTTTATTTAGTTACTGTATCAGAGTGAGATAGTTGGTTAATACTTTATTTTATGAGTCCCATATTTTGAAGCTAGTTTCCTGGACAAGCTCGTCATAGTTTCCTAAAATTAGCTGGGAATTCAACTGTAAGTTATATGACTAATTATAAGAAAAACTGAGACATAGTTTGTTATATACAAGGTTTTAAGACGAAGTAAAGTTGTGGTACAGCAGGGATGTGCAAAATCCATAAGTTTCCTAGACAGACTAATCAAACTTCTTAATTTGATACAAAATGTGCTGTTCTGAGTTTCTCTGGATATTAGGTCATTTGGTGTTTGTAGTATAAAAACTTTATTTTACTTTATTTTTCCTCTTATTTCAGCTGGTGTGCTGTCTTTGTTCATCGACCGGGGGAAGCGAGTTGTGTTGCGTGTCTTGTCTCTGTTATTTCAAGCAGAGCCAGATGATGTTATTATACAATGTCAGTGTAAAAGGATGAGCTAACATCATTACCAACTCCACCATCATCCCACATGCTCTGCTGCTGTGTACCGTCTTCATCACTTGAGCTACCTGCAGGAATTGCATCTGCATCAGCTCTGTTGCTTCCTCGGGCATAGGCTTGATTTCATCTCAGAGTCATGTGTCTTGAGCTTATTTGTATGTACAGTGGCTGTTTGTCTGTGGAAGACAGATCATGTCCTCAGGCCTTAGTGGAGCAGAAGCAGCTCTGGTCGAGCTCAACCTGAGCTCTAATCAAGGCTGCTGCATTTCATTGATCACATCCATTCAGAGCTCAGCGTGTCCAGAGCACCACTGCGTGTTGTGCGTGTGCTGTATGTGTCTATATGCTGTAAAGCATTGTGATGCATATTTAAGGTACTGTCGTGCTGCTGCATGAAAGATTTCACACTTGAGCCATGTTGGACGTGTTACAGACTGAACTGCCAGCATGTTTATGTAACAAGGCGCATGTTTGAAATTCTGGGCTTTAGTTGTTTTGTATTATGACAGTAACTTGAGCGTTTGAAAGGGTAAATGCTCTGTAATTATACTGCCAGGCATCTCTGTGATAAGGAGCACAGAGCTGCCTGCATGGCTTCAGATGCAGAACATTGATAAAGCTGTTGTGACAGCATGGTGCTGTGCTGGTGTTTGTGTATGTCTACAAGGCGGGAGGTCACACTGGAGCTTCTCTTGTGACTGATCAGGGCTACATTCACTTCTGCCCCAGAGGTCAGGGGTTAAAGACACGGGCAGAGGAGCCCTGCTTGGATCAACCTGGAGCCTTTCACTAACTGTTTCAACTCTGTCTCCAAGAAAGTACTCTTTTATACTACTAAACTAATTTAACAGTTATGTTCAGAAGTTTTTTTGTTTTTTTTTCTTTTGGCTGAACGAAGCACTGCTTTTATTATAGACAGCGGAGTCTCCAGGTGGCATCTGGGGTGGATGGTGTACTGTCTGTTACACCAGACATCCACAGTTCCTTCTGGGGTTTAGGCAACAAAAGTATTTTAGTTAAGGTTTGGGGAAGATAGTGGTTTTGGTTAAATGTAAATAAACATGTTGTGTCTGAAGTCACTGGGTGACCTTTGTCTGTCACATTAACCAAGTGCCTGAAACCATTCAAAGGTTTAACAATGCTGTGCTGTAAGACTGGGTATTTTGATGTGAAAGAAATGTGTCTTACTGGTGTGTTCAATATCTAATACCTATCACATACTGTATCTTCATTATGTTAAAAGAAAACATCATCTGGCTACAGTTTTATTTCCTTTAAAATGTAAACTCTCTTGTAAATCAATTGTGTATAAATGTCATTTCTAGAAGACAGAGTTGAAGTTGCTGTTAGCCACCTTTATATTGAATTACTGCAGTACATAACCAGGAGTTTGTTTTACTGGGAATGCTGCAGACACCAGTTGTGTTACAGTTCCATGTGGGTCTTTCTGTGGACCACAGATACTGTTCAGTTCACTTAACACTGTGCACCTGTGTGTCACTGTCGGTCTGAGACTCTGGATGCATGCAATCAGAAGAAAACTGCCAGTGTAGGGCCACTGATGATGATTATTTCATTGTTCATTTTGTCACTAAATACTAAAAAATGCCCAGGATGTTATATTCTAATCTCTGTATCGAACCAAAACCCAGAAACTTTAAGTTTATTATACAGTATATGATAAAGAAAAGTAGAGAAGCACTGGAAGGGCTGGAACGAAATGCAGTTTGGCATTTTCAAAACAGTTGACATTCACAGTGGAATATTAGGATACTAACGTTTGGCATTTATCTTTGTTACACCCCCATATAGCAGCTGTTTGTCATAGCTCTGCTAAGACTGGACTCGTGTCCTCCAGTCCATAGTAATGGTGGTTAGCACAGCGATATGCTAACTGTGTCTTGGCCATAGCTGCAGAATAAAAGTTAAAATGTGGATATAGTTCTAAATTGGACTGTATGCACCATCCTGGGCTCTATGGGCAGGTCATGGTCATGTGGGCCCTTTCTGCTATATGTGGATGCAGAACGTTTGAATTGACTGTGAGACAAATGCATCATTGTCCTTTAGTTGACTGAACAAACATGAATTAAGTCTTGTTTCAGATGTAAGGCTGCTTGTTCCACAAGGCAGGGATGATTGAACTCTACTGAAGTGTAACATCTTTTTTGTTGGCACAACACAGCCTCAGCATTTGACCTATAGCAAGCTTTGATAATGTGTAGGGTTTACTGATGTCCTGCTGCTAATGTTGTCTCTCCTGTTCTCTCTGACAGGATGCCTCCATCGCCCATCGCTTTCACCTGATGCGGGAAAAGCACCCTGAGAAGTTCAACAGCAGGTCAGTGAATGGGGTATATGGCCAAAAGCTCCGAGGAGCGCCACTGGGCTGGACTGAGGTGGAAGGTGGCATTTCACAACAAGACATTCCCTTCACTTCTTAACCAGATGGTGACCTCACACTGTATTCTGCTCACCCAATCCACAATCAATACCAGGACAAAACGGGCCTGCTTAGTGCCACACAATGCAGACAAAGACAGTTATGACGTATTTGGAGGTTCATGTCGTCCTAATAGCAGAGAAGGTATATTCAGATGGCAGGCCAGAAAGACTAGTGCACATCGGTCTAATTCATAGTTATATAAGGCTAGAAGCTGCCTTTGTCTGACTAGAGCATGAGAAAGGTCAGCAGAGAGCAGCAGCTACCCTGAATCAGAGGAAAGGAAACATCTCTTAGCAACACAGATTCAGATTTGTAATTGAACCACGTCACACCAGCAAGTTACCAGCTTTGCCTGTCTGTTCTGATCTCAGATAATCCTGATCATATTGTTAAGGTTATTCTCTCAGACTTAATAAAGCTGCAGACAGGAGATTATCCAACAGTGTTCACAGGCTGAGTGCAGTGTCCTGTTGATGACTAAATAAAATTGGTGTAAAATTGGTGGGGGGGGCCTTTAGAAGTGCAGTTACTCCTCAAATGACTGAATCCTACTAACACATACTATAGTTTGTGTTTCCAAGCCTGACATAGTTTATTCCTCTGTTTTTGCCTGCTGTAGACCTGCACTGTTGTCCAGCAAGTCTAAATATACTTCTGCTTTAAGCGCCTATGCCTATGGTATCTACACGCATAGGCTCTGTGGTTGTACTCTAGACAAGCACCTCTTCAAAATGTAACTACACACTGAGGCTACAGTGTTGATAGAGGTACTGGAAAGTTTGTTGAGAGTGAAGACAACATTAAGAAAGTTAAAGAAAGACTCTCAGTTGTCTTCTCCTTTTCACTTACAGACTTGTAACAGACACTGCAAATGTGATAGATCAGTGAACATAAACACAGTAGTAGTCGTTCATTCAGACTTGGCGAATGTTACCTGGATGTTCTAGTTCAAGAAATGAGTGAAAGTAAAGGTAAATGAAAGAAGGCAAACAGTCACTGTGGGGAATATAAAGCACAATATGGCCTGATCATATACAGCAACACACGTTTTATACTGTGGAGGCCATATCAACTTGGCTGATGATGCCATTAGAGGAAAAGTTGAGGACTCATCCAAGTTAATTACAGTTCTTCCTAAGTGAGGCTTGACTGTGTGAACCAAACTTCATAGAGTATAAGAAAGTAGGTAAGTCCCTAGGCTTCTTCCTGTGGACCCTGAATATCAAACTGTCTGATCCTTAGTCTGAGTCAGTCCTTGGTGACAAGATTTCTGTCCTCGAGATGAACACTTGTGCTTGGAGCCAAGTCATACAAACAAGAAGGTACTGAGAGACAAATTAATAACTGATGGTTTTTGGTCTTTTCATGAGATTTGTGGCAACAGGAAAGTAAAGACTACTGTCAGCCTTTTTCTTAAAATGTAAACATTAACCACCCTCAGCCCCAGAAGCAGTACCATCCACAAATATCACAAGTTGTAGTGAAAACACTGCCTTTGATGTGGCTGGACTTTCATTCCAAGCAGCGTTCTGCTGTGGCCACACTTCACTCAGATGTGCAGCAGAGTACAAACAGCAGCAACCTGCACACATCCTCTGCAGACAGATTGCGTCCTGTATCTCCGAGGCCAGTGACTGCTCGTGAATGTGTGGTGCTGTAGCAGGAGGCTGAGGTGTGTGTGTGTCTAGGAATGTCATAATGTTCTCCACTCTCAAACCAAAGCTGTGTTTGCCCATCATGTGTTTAAAAGCTGTTCTGCATATACATACTGAGCTTCAGTACTAGCACAAATCAGTTCCCCGTCCTGGTCACAATCAAGTTTTACTTTGTTGGACCATTCAGTGACATATCAAAGCTTTTGACTCCGGTGGGAACCAGGTTGCTCTGCAGCTCTATTTAAGTGTAGCTGGTGCTTTGTGCTGTTTGCATAATGGCAACAACATGTATGCAGTAAAAGAGAAAAAAACAAAGATGGCTGATTTACTCTTTGAAATTCAGTAATTAATGCTTATGTTTTCACTTCTAGACCCAGATCTGTTTCCAGCCTCACATTCAGAAGGAAGAGAGGGTGATAAAATATGAGAGCTGCAGTACCTCTGTTCTCTAGGGGCCCTCGCTTTGATCCATAACAAGGGCCACAGTGAAATGATATAAAGCATGTTTGTGGGGAGCAGGTCATGTTCAGCTCACACTAACCCAGAGGTTAAACACAGTCATCTATAAAGCTGCTTTTTGACAGTTCAGACTATTTCTGTTCTGCCGACTGATCGCTCCATCGCTGTGTGAGCCACTCGTGGCTCCGATCCAGCTGGAAGCTCCAAGCGAGAGTTCACAAAACATGAACTGTATTGACACTCACCCCTACACAAAAAAATATCAACACTCTAATGCTTGCTATTTACAGTAAGCCAGCACTGGAGGTTATTGTTCTTCTGTGAATTGTCTTCTTTGGCACTTCCACAGAGCAGCAGGCAGCTGATGGACAGCTGCAGCTGCCTTCTTGGAGTCTGAATGATCTTTTGGCACAGAAGGTATTTGCCCATTTTTACAGCAGTGTCAACTGGAAGCAGTCAGTGTGAAGATGGAGCAGTTTTTTTTCTTTGTGAGTGAGCAGATAAATAACCTTTGACCCGGCGAGAGAGGCCCGTAGCCACATGTAGCATTAAGCTCAGTGCTTTATTGTCCTACCTGCCACTCAGAAACCCACATTAACCCCTTTTATACACTGCCCAGTTTTCCGCCCTGTCGTTCTGTATTAAGGGGTTAATGTTACACCCAGAATGCTGCTGCAGGAGGTAGTAGCTTTGGCACCCCACCTCCTGTATGAAAAGAATGAGGGCTGAATGGGATGTTGGGATGGAGGAGTTGATGATTTGATGACATGTTATTAATGCGGCAATTCACCGAGAGATTTAAACAGCAGTTAGCAGGAGAAATTAATACGAATAGGTACTATGCACAACAACTTTGCATGAGTTGAAATCATGTTGTGCATGTACAGAAGTAGCTGAAGCACAAGCACATCAACCATTACTACTGTTCTGAAAAGGATAGCGTTACTGGTATGCATAGTTTTGTTTTTTTTGACTAGTGTGTTACATGTCATTTTGGATGTCACGTTAAGCTTCACACTTCTTCGACCGGGATCCTGGCAGCTGTGTAAAATGAATACAGAGGCAACATTTTGATGGCTTTTTTGATTTCAGTGCAAATCAAAAAAGCCGCCGTGAAGAAGGGTCAACACAATGGCAGTTTGCCATAATGTCTGAATAAAAAGGGCTGCATGTGCATGTCTCTCTCTTACATGCTCACACCACACCATCCCCTGCTTGTTTGCTAGTACATACACCCCAACCCCCACTGGCACCCTCCCCTCTAGGGCCTGTTGGGACAGAGGGCATGTGTGACTCCTGACATCTCAGCCTGTGGAGCCTCATCAGCTTCTAATGGTCACATTAGCTAGAGCTCCAGGAGCCCAAAGCTCAGGTGCTAATCACTTCTCACACTGGCGACAGTGTGTGTTTGTGTGTCTAACATCCCAGGTGGGGGAGTTTCAGAGAAGAAGGCCTGGATTTAGAGGTGTTGAGAGGTAGATTTGTTTTGAAAATCCATTTTTTTCTCTTCATTATAGACTCATCCACACTTGTGCAGACTCGGTGACACATTTCCTTCACATGATCAACAGCAGTTTCTTAGTTTAAAAAAAACTCAAGATCAACTTACCCGTTCCCCAGCTTTCAACCACAATGGCTGAGCAATCACAGAGGGCTGCTGCCACTGGAAACTACATTATGAGAGTGTAGCAAAGCAGTAAATTTATGTCTGGATGTCAAACAATGAGCTGAAACTCTGTAAGGCTGCGTTCTCTCATGCAGAGTGAACTCTGACTGCGGCCTAATGCCAGTGGAAGCTGCAGGTTCAGGTGGTAATTCTCTGTAGATTCGTCAACACAAACAGCCTCTTTCATATTGTTATTGTAAAAAGATATACTTATGGGCCACTTTATTAGGCACACCTGTACATCTGTATGCACTTCATTGCAACACTTAGCATCTGTGTTTATGAAGCTCAAAATGTTTCAGTTTTTGGTGAGATTGCCATAAATGTATAAATTCAATTATATGTTTATTATTGAGGTCACAGTTAGAGGTGGTGTTGTACTGGACTACGTTATAAATCAGGTGTGTCTATATTTTTGTCCTCCTCAGCTACATACAGCAACACCACCTTTAACTCTCTACTGTCTGTTAGATGAAATGTGCTTCCACCTGGTCTTTGAAAGAGATAATCATAAGTATTATATAGTTATCAGAGAGTCAGTTGTTAGTTCTTTTGAGCACACTGTCAAACACTAAGTACATCTCCTCACCAATTTAAGCCCCAGAGTTCAGCACACCCAGCCTTATAGTCTGAACAAGAGGCTACAATGGGGAAAAATGCCCCATTCTTAAAATTATTTAACATTTGCTTTATTGTAGTTTTGCATTAGTTGTGGTGCAGGAATATGGTAATAATAGAGGAAAGGCTTATGGAAGTAGTTTGCCTCCCTGTTGCACTTTGTGTTCATAAGAGATGGAAAAAACACGAGTTAATTGCATTTTTTACAGGCTGTCTCAAGTGGAAGCCGCTTAATGAGGTTAGGCAGCTTGCCTCGTTGAAAATCACAACTGTTCCTAATTGTGATCTCAAATATGCTCATAATCCCCTGATTTGACAGCAGCAGAGGTTTCTGGGGAGGTATTAAGGTGAAAGAGAGGGAACAAGGGACAGAAAGACAATTAGCAGGGAGAAAAACACGAACAAGTAGAACAGCTTAAGACATTGTACTTACACTAAAAGCAAAATAAACAGCTATCAAAGACGTTAATGCTTACTTTGAAGTCTGTTATATGGGTTTATGTTGGTTATGGAGTTATTTTATTGAGCATGAATGAAAAGAACAACAGAAACATATTTTGAACTTTTCAAAGAGTGTGACCATTTCTTTAGGTTGTGTTCTGCTTAAATGTTCTGTCCTCTACTTTTTCTCAGTGTCCCTGAAGGCCCACATTATACAGAGCTGTTGTGTCAATAACTGTGTTGTCAGTATCAGCAGCATGTCCACATGCCAGTGAACCCGCTATCATATCATGAAAGATGTGTCATTTCCAGGCTAATGTAGAGTGGGACAACAGTTACACTGGTAGTCAGGTTTTTTAAATGAGCCTTTACAACAAGAGGAAGGGAACCATTGTGTCAGAATTGATTAAGTTTAACTGAGAGCATGATCAAAACTGACCTCTGACCTCAGACCAGTAACAGTCACAGAATTGACCAGGGCACTATCAGAGTTATTGACCAGGAGTCAGCTAGCTGGAGAAAAGAGGCCATTAACATTCAGCCATCTTTGAACAGAGACAAGGGTTTTGACCCCACTCACTGAGGCAGAGAATAGACGTGCTTTAATCATCATTTTCACCAGAGATAGAGCAGAAAAGTCCGCACATCAATTCCTCTCCTGCTCCTTGTGTTTCTTGACAAGGCCTCGACCTGATATACAGTATGTTGTCAGGTACTAGCTAGTGTTAGCGACCCAGCAAGCAGGTGCACCACGACCAGACAACCCATGTGGCTTCACCTCCTATAACCAAAAGTAATGTCATTAACAAACACAGAGCTTAGATCGTTGTGCTCAGTCTCTTTGCAGTCTGCCCGTCTTGCAGATGGGAACCATGTTTGCATTGCATTGTGAGTATGTTAGCATTTAGCTGAAAGACCTATGTACAGCATACAGCTGCTAGCGTGGCTTTAAACACTTATGGTGTAGTCACATTATTGTGAAAAAAATGGCTTTCAGTTCACCTCGTCATTGTTTATGCAGTGCAGTGTGCAGCATGGAGCAGGGTTGTACCAAAAGTTTACATTTGTTGAAGTTTGACCTCAGGTGTGCTGACCTTTGTGTGCTCAGCCAATCACTGCTTGATCTAGCAAAATATCAGCATGCAATTGCCGCTACCAAGATTATTTAAAAAACACCGTTTGAGCCTTTAAAGTGATTTACTGCTAGCGACATTGGCATTGCAGCTAAGGTGGAGCCATTTAGTACAGTGCCCCCTGGGAGTTTCTAATTGAATTTCTGTGCTGTTCATCATGGTTATGCGCCAACCAAGACCCCCATTTTTCCACAATAATATAAACATGCCTTCAGTGTTGCGTCATTCATTTTGTAGACAGGCTAAGGCTAATTTTGGGACTTGGTCCTATGTGGTGGGAAGATGAGCAATACCTTTAAATAATCCACTTGATTTAGGGATGATTCAGCAATGTGTCTTTGCTAAACTACAGAAAAGTTCAAATCAAAGCCTTTAGGTACCAGCTTACAAAGACAAACTGGCAGTGCAGAAATGCAGACTGTAAATGACTCTTTACCATATTTGTAACACAGTTTCCACAGTTACCTCCATGTCTCTCGGTTAGTGAACCAGATCGCTTTTCCCCATTCCTAACTGTTGAAAACTCTGACTACACACACCATTAGTGTTTCCAGTTGATATTTACAGATTGCTGAACCAGATATTTCACCTTGATTGCCAACTGTTTGTCCTGTCCCAGAACTGCAACATATGACATGAGGATATGAACAAAACTACATCCATCAGGTCACCTCTGACAAGCGCGTCTGCAGGGAAGAAATGAACCGTTGCTCAGTCAGACCTGTGGGTTTCTTTGAATGTTGTGAATCGCTATAATATTTGCCCTGATCTTACACTCTCCACCAGCAGAGTTTCACCCATTGTCCCCTCCAGAGGCAATGTTGACTGTTCAACATAAGGGCACTGAGCTGAAAATGCATGCATTGCTTTGATGAAAGAGCAGACAACAGCAGGAGGCATGTTTGACAGATGGTGGAGTTAGCTTTTTATGCTTCACTGTTTAGCCATCAGTGCTGCCTGTGCCAGTGTATCCAGGCTTTAGGGTGCACTGATGGGGGTCTGACCTCTGTGGTTATATGGCCTCTAGCTGTCCTGAGCTGTCAGTTCAAAATCTGAGATGAGGTAGTGGACAGCTTCAGTATGTGTTTACTGTACCTGAAGCAAATCACTCTATAGGTTCACAGCACTGTACACATGGGCAAGCTATGTTCAGACTGCAAATATTTGTTAATGTTAGTCAAAATCACGCCTGTCCTCTGTTTCCCCTCTTGCTCCTCAGAATGAAGAACAAGCTCTGGTACTTTGAGTTTGGCACCACTGAGACCATATCTGCCACCTGCAAGAAATTAAATGAATGCATAGAAGTCGAGGTGAGTCTCAGTCTTATCAAAACTTCCCTGAAGCAGAATGGCAGAGTGATGGCAAAAAGTGACTGTGAAGCTGACAGAAATGAGGAAAATGTCTTTAAATATTCATGATATATTTGATGCAAAAAAGGAACATCACATCAACAAGTTTTCCTTTTTGTCGCTGACAGATGTTTAAGTGCAGTTATTCTAAGGTTTTAAAGTTCTGAAGTTTACAACAAAGTGGCTTTGCCATAATAATGAGGTGGGCTATTCATAGCACATCATCAGATTAATGCTCCATAAAGTCACTGATTGCCTCATTCTGTCATACAGTGCTGCATAATCTGTCACCTGGGTGCTTAAAGCACAGCAAGACTCCAGGAAAACACACCAGAAACACACCTTCTTAGAAACCACATGCAAAATAAGCTGTGTGCCTTCCCAAAGGGTTCATGACCTACACCCTTCATACCTTCAACTAATTAAAAAAATCAGACCGACTTTGGAAAATTGTGTGTATTTATATTTAGAAATATTCAATATAATAGAGCTCTTATATGTTCTTAAAGATTAAAGCTGCATTATTTTGTGTTGTTCATATTCTTAATAAATGTAATAAAAAGGGCAACAATCTCTTTGTCCACCTACTTTATTCTCTGAGATCCCTCCCCTGTCTGTGACAAGGCACTGAGCCTGTTTGCTTCCAGATTTTTAAAACAACAAAGGCTCACAGTTACATATTTTTAATAACAACAGTGGAGCGCTAAGGCACAGAAGAATAAGATACTGTATATCACATAGGCAACATTTGCTTGTCATTACAATTATCTTTATGTTCCTTCCTCTAATTCTGGTTTATCAGTCATTGTATGATATGATACAGATGGGTGACAAACCAGACCAGAGGGTCGGAGTTTCGAAACTCAGTGCCTGCAGTTCATGTGTCGAAGTGTCCTTGGGCAAGACACTGAACCCCCAGGTTGCCCCTGATGGTTAGAGCCATCAGTTGAGTTGACACCGCAGATGGCTGCTTTGGTTCTGTACTGGAAACAGATTCCTTGTGTGTAACATACTTGGCCAATCAAGGTGATTATTATTATTATGAATGAGTGGATTATCTTGATGATCTGATTGATCCCACTGTGACTCTCCAGAGCCAAATGTCTTCAAATGTACTTGTTGTGTCCAACCAACAGATCCACAGAGACTCGGCTGATTCTCATGTCTGACAAAGAAAAGCATCAGTTCCTCATATTAAAGAAGGTGGAATCAGAACATGTTGGTGACTTAATTTTGTAGTTGCCAGTTCATTTTCTACCAGTGAACTGACTGATGGCTGCAGCTCTAGGTCACTGAATGGCTTCATGAGGACGACACAGTGGGTTGGACACAGTGGGTTGGACACAGTGGGTCGGACACAGTGAGGGGATCTGGTTTGGAAGGAGGACGTTTCCTCCCTCTGACAGAGGAGACCTGATGCTGCTCTGGAGACACGGCACTGACACGGCTCTGCTGGGCTCTGGGTGGTAGTTTGTCCTTTTATTTGTCACCCAACTGTGTGTTCCTGTTGTAAATATAAAAATATTTCTGACCTCTAGTTGTTTATGAGAGGCCTTAGTTACAATACACAGCTCCTTTCACATCCTCTAAAGTTACTCTGGCAAGTGTATTGATGAAAATCTAAGATAGAGCAGAGCAGTAAATTACAGATAATCACAAATATGAGCCTCACACTGCTGTTACTTGAGGCTGAACTTTATCATCTTGATTAAATCTCAAGGACATCAAAGCATTACCTCCTTGTCAGTGGGCAGTTCACAGAGAACCGTGCGCATAGAGCATTTGACAGCTTTTGCCCGAATCCTTTCTGAAACTGTCCATGCAGCTGGTTACAAAACGGCTCCATCATGTGAATGCACAATGCAAGATGCTGACGCGTTAACTACTCAGAGGAGTGTGACAGTGACATCATGTCTAATAGGAAACTGTGGAGCAACTGTGTAGGTAGATAACAGACCATGAGGCCAGTCAAGTGATTTGCACAGACAGAAACTTTTGGAGGTGCTGCACCACCGAAAGTAGAAAATAAATGGCAGACTAGGGAGTGAATCAAAGACAGAACTGGACAGGAAGGAGTCAGTGCAGGTGAACTGTGAAGCAACCACTGTGGAACTCATATTACTATGACCGCAAAGAGCTTGAAAACCTAATTTCTCAAATAGATTCTTACTGTGAATACTGGAGTCCTTCATAAACACAGTCAGTTTTGGTTATGTGAGATTTGGTCTGTTTGATAATGTTCAGGTTGTGTTCAAACTGTTTCCGAGAGCTGTTGGTTCAACTGTGTGATTAATGTGGAGGCTGGAGTTTGTGCTGCCCTTTACGTTAAGTAGCTGAACCTCACTGATATAAGTGAACACTGCACTGATGCACAGTGGACTCGCTGACAGGCTGTTGCTAATGTTGGTTAGCAGCCATTTATACATTTTAATAATTGCATTTCAATTGTAATTGTAGTCAATACCAAAGAGAAGTGGGCAGTATCTTCTGTCCTTGACTCCTACACATGTATCAAGTACTTCCAGACAGTTACATGGCCTTGATCTGAAACAATGCATTTCAGTAAACACTGTGTTGTTTAAGATACAACTTATTTTATGACTTCTGTATATGGGATGTAGTCAGACTATGATCATTTAGTGTGATTACATTTTATTAACATGTTTAACTGGCCAGAAAATAAGCTTGTAGAAAGAAGTCAGGAAGTGATGTAAAGACATTTATTGTGTCTCCACTCGTATGTGTATGTGTGTCTGTGAATGTACTGTATGTGTGCAGGGCCCCACATGAGTTGCATGGTTTTTCACACACTTGTTCTGTGATGGGTCTTCTGTGTTGTGAGTGTGTAGTAAAATACAACATTTTAGTGCTTTGACTCATCACCAATCAGCCATGCACACTGAGTCACAGCAGCGTGTTGCTGACATTCTTTGGTGTGTTTGAATTATTTTTTGAATCCTAATGAGGCCAGATGCTGTGTTATTCCAAGAGGGACCCTGAATGCCAAACGGTGTTACTTTCTTTCATGCTGTATGTATAGACATTGGGCCAGCTTACTGTATTTTATTGCTGTGTTTTGCTGCACACTTCGATTGTGTACGAGTAATGCATCAGGACAAAATAAATCCTACTCATCAACAAAACACAGTGCACAAAGTGGGTGGATAGATGGCTTACTCTGTGATACAGCAACTCGTCCTGTGAGAACAACCTTTTCACTCCCACTGTGTCGTCCTACATCAACACAACATGTAATTCCTGCACTAACTACCATAAAACCTGTTTCATCCATTAATTATTTATACCACTTATTCTGAATAGGGTCGGGGGTGACATGGGGTGAAAGGTGGGGTCCACCCTGGACAGGTCACCAGTCTATCACAGGGCTGACACTTAGGGACAAACAACCACACACACTCACATTTACAGGCAATTTGGAGTCACCAACCAACCTGTTGGTTCCTGAGGGAGGAAGCCGAGTACCCGGAGAGAACCCACGCAAACTCCACACAGAAAGACCCTGGGTCAGCTGGGGCTCAAACCCAGAACTTTTTTGCTGTGAGGCAACAGTGCTAACCACTGTGTCACCATGCCGCCCGAAACCTGTTTTAATAAAACACAAAAGAGAAGATTCTTTTACCCAGAAGTTTATTCATCCCTATTATCATTGTGTGACTTTTTAAGGTCTGCAGCTCTGCTAAAGAATCTCTGCCTACACAGCCAAGCTCATGAAAACAGCAATATACTGTAATTTGAAGGAATGACTTTCTACCAGGATACATTTGCCAGTTGTATATCTCTGCACAGATGGAGGCAACACATGGTGGATCATATGTAACTGGCTGTTATAACGTGACCGCAGTACAAATGATGTAATACCATGGTTTCAGTCAGAATCAGAATCAGTTTTATTGGCCAGGTGTGTTGGACACACGAGGGATTTGACTCTGGTACAGCAGCTCTCAATGTGTATGTACATGTCCTTATGTGAGGCAGCAGTGGGCAAGTAAACAATATAAGGCTGAGAACAGAAGTAAAGAACTCATCCTGCAGCTTCACACAGGGGCATAATCAGTCAGTGTTCTTCTTACATCTGTTTGTGTTGTGAGGTTTTTTTTTGCTGCCTTAAATATGTCTTCATACTCATTCCTACTCTTTGTCCTTCTTCTTTCTGTCTTTTTGTTTCCTCTTAATTTTTCCCTCAGTGCGACGGGATCGTCTTGGACCTCAGCAACACCTCTTTAGAGGGCATTGCCGTGCTCAACATTCCCAGCATGCATGGCGGCTCCAACCTGTGGGGCGAGACGAAGAAGAGGAGGAACTACAACCGCATGAGCAAAAAGGTTCCTGACAGGATGCCAGCCATCACCGTCACAGACGCGAAAGAGCTCAAGTTCTGTCTGCAAGGTGAGTTAATGGAGATGAATGAGGATGCACCAACACCAAGAAAGGTGTTGAAAGAAAGGCAGAAAAGTCAGGAGTTCACCAACTTCTTTCTTGTTTACAGGAATATGAAGGAAAAATAAAACTTATTGTTGACTCAACTTCTATAATTCAAGCATTTATAGATGTACAGTATTAAGTGCAATAAACAGGAGGCTGTGTATGGTTCCGGTAGAGGTGGCTGCCTCCACTGAGTTAATGATGGCCTCCTCTAAAGTCATGAAATCATGATGATATTAAAAATAAGAGGTTTTATTGACTAAAACCTTCAAACCTCTGCAGAGAAGTTGGTCTTTTTTGCACATGAAAAGCTAGATTTTCTTTTTGTTACCTTGAGGTACAGTCTAGCTGAGGCCCTTCATCCCAGGTTGTGGCCTTAGTCCTGACGTGGGTTATGAGCTCTTGGATCTAAGCAGGGATTCAGACTGAAAATGTCTAGTTAGCTTGAAACTAAATTGAGATACAGCATTGAATGTTCAGGTACATAGAGTATTGACTACATTACATTTGGCTGCAGGATGTTGCTGAGTGGACGGGGGGGGGAAAGCAACACTCAGCTAAAAAAAAAATTTTTTTTTTCTTTTTTCATGAAGAACAAGTACTTGGAAAAGAGATGTTTCGTTTCTTTGTTTCTCTTTCTGACTCTATTTGAGTCCTTTACTCAGTGATGCCTCATTAAAAAGTGTCAGAAGTGGAATGTTACATCACACTTACCAACTGATTTTGAATTTACTTTGGAAATGTTTAAGGTGCTAAAGGCTGTATTCTGCAGCACAGAGCAAACATTTAACAGTAAACATTTAGTTAGTAAGTTGGATGGTAGAAATGTACAAAGGTGGATATTTCCAATAACATTTGGCCGATGATTTGTTTTATAATCAAGCTTCCATTGAATCCAGACTTTATTTCTTTCTGCTCTTTTTTCCATCTCCCCGAATTTCACTCTGTCACAGCTGGTCCTTTAATTCTTAATGCTTTAGTCTTTAATCACTGTTTTGGTACAGGTGCTCATAACGGATGCATCTTTGAAATTACAGATGTGAATCCAGAATCCGTGTGTTGCAGGTGGGCTGCTATTAAATTACTGGCTCTTTGTTAAGAAAGTGCAATCTGTATCAAAAATGTTTGCTATTTAAAGACATTGCTTTAGACGATGACATTTCAGCTATGGGTGGCACCAGTAGATAAACGCTGGGCATGCTCGATACCTGAGTGTTAAGTTTATCTGCTGTTACTGTTCATGTAAAGGTCAGTTTACTCAACACAAAGAGCAGCATTCAGCCCTGGAAAACAGGTGTATAATATCCTCTGTGACTCTAGAACTAAGAAGATAACCAGGAGCTCAATCAGTGCCTTTACTTTCTTTTCTAAACCTGCCTCATACGCTGTGAAATAGAAAAAGTTGATAAAACAATGCAGTTTCAGTAAAATAATAGGCAAACATTTAGGCTTTAAGTCTGTTAAAGTCTAACTTAAAGTCTTTTCAGATGAGCTTGTATTCCATTATTGTGTCAAGTTGCATCTCTCATCACAGCACTGAGCCCTGGAGTATGGCCACAGTGACTCAAGGTTATTACACAAGGTGCCGGAAGTGTCTGAAGACTCGTCTTCATCATAGTTTGAACACTTTCATTTTTGATCATTGAGAAGCCCGGAAAAAAAGGGGTTTCCAGAGGAATTTAACCACAAAGCAATGCATGCTGGGAAGTGGGAATGTGAATAATGTTTCTGAAGAACTGGGTTTGATGAGTGGCATGTTTTTCTTCGAAATGTTTCTTTGTGGTTCATATCCTGGCAAACACCTCTCCTATCACATTTCTCTCTTCTTCTTGCACTTAATTCAGCATTTTGCAATACTACAGCAAAAACAAGCCAACACCAGCACAAACCTCTCCAAAAAAAACTTCTCAACAGGAATTAGAAAATTGCAATAAATTATTCTAAAGATATAAACTTGTTCATTAAGAACCATGTGTATCATCAGTTATAACAAAATGATAACAAAATGATAACAAAATGATAACAAAATGATAACTGATGAACTGAGATTTTCCACACAATCTGATAATGTGGGACAGGACATGGTGTCTCTCAGCTACACCCCCCTCCATGACCCTCTGCTGCCTACAGCCTCCTGTTGTTATTCCAGCTTCTCCACCCTGTGATGACTTTGGCATCACAGTTGATTAAACAGAAGTGTGTCTCTTAGTGTTATTAATTCACAAATAAAATCATTATGTGTTTTCTAGAAGGATTATAACAGTTTGTACTCTGATCAGGTTCAAGGTTAAATAAATGATGTGCAGTTAAATTAATTTCCCCCCAAAATCCGCCCAGGTGGCCACAGGGCTGATTCTGCACACTGCCATGAGCACACAAGCAGACACACAAGTTTATACACTGTACGTGTGTGAGTCTTTGAAGCCATCGACTCCATGTTTTAAATTTCCAGCCTGGTCTTAACTCTTGGCCTAAATCCAAAACATAATCTCAGAGTAACCTCTTAGAGACCCACACACTGTCCTCACTTGAAGGGATTGTCCATATCTCCATGCACAGACCTGACTGCCTTGTGCTAGGTAATAACTGTTGTTGGTGTCAGAAAAGAATTGCTTCTACTGTGGCAGTATAGTTTGTGGTGGTGTTGGAAAACATACATATTTGGAAATAGGACTCACAGACCAGTGCTGTAGTTTCAGAGTGAAACTACCAGGTGTGTGTTCATGTGCCTTGTGTGTGTGTGTGTGTGTGTGCATGTTAATCATACAAATAATTGCTTATGGAAGTTGCTTGCACTGATGCAGTGAACTGAAGCTTTTAAATCCATTTGCTGCAGCCAATGCAATCAGTGAGGGTTACCCAGAGAGAGCGACAGGAGCCCCGGGCACCTCTGACCTCACAGTTCTCTGAGGCACTGTGTTTCTGCTCTGGTTTTTGCTCTGCAGACACACAGAGACAGTCTATAGTAATGTGGATTTGTAATAGAATAATTGGTGTCATTTAAATTTAATCTATTAGAGTGACTTAAACAACAGTCCTTTTCCTGGAACAGAGGAACTGTGAATCTGCTGCAAACAGAATGAACGTTAGTTGCACAAATGAAACACTGCACTCCTTGCTTGTTCACCCCAAACAGCATGTACACTCTTTACACACTGGCTGTGTGTTCATGTAGCGGCCCAGACTGTGGATCTCACTACTGCACAGAAAAATCTGTTGTGTGTGTTATTTTTCCCTCGACATCACTTTCTTCATCTTTTCAACAATTACAGTTATGAAACCTTGAGATAAATATTTATTTTTGCTCAAGATTAAACATTTTCACACTACTCAAAGCAAATTCACACCCGTTTCTGTCCACTTACACTTTTGTGTAGACTTAATATGGAGTTGTGCAACCTTTAAAATTCACTTCCTAGGGAACCCAGGCTGCTTAGAACCGTGGCGTCCCTGACTCACCTTTGTTGCATGTTATTACCCATCTCTGTCTCCTCTTCCATTTCTTGTCAGCTCTCTATGGTCCTTATCTAATAAAGGTAGTGCTTCAAATGCATCTGAATACACCTGTGCTGGTCAAGTACCAGTTTACCTTAGAAATGATGTAAGTCAGGTCAAGATGGGCTCAGACTGTAAAACATGCAGATTGGACAGGCTGTGCCATTGTCCTGCTGCTTGGAGGTTACCTCCTGCAGTAATATCAAGTAACCCCAATAATATATCGACCACGTAAACCTACACCTCAAGCATCCTCCAAACTAACAATGAAGTTCTTCTGCTCACATTTATTGTCTGTGCACTCACAGCTGTGGCCATTTTGCATCTTTTTGTGCTTGTTTTGCAATTCTTTTTAGTTGTTTTTCCTTCCCTTTTATTTTTTTTGCCCTTCTTCTTCGTCATTTTGTGTGTTTTGTGGTTATTTTTGTGTATTTTCCTTGGGCTGTTGTCTGTGAGGTTGTTTTGCATATCTTTGTTTTGCTGTGTTATGTCTGTTTTTACTCATTTTACATATACAGTATGTGTTGTTGGTTGACTTTTCAACAAGAAATGTCAGCAGTCATTTCATACAGAGGCTCTGGTCCAGCCCCCCCTGATCCCTTGGGCTCCTGGACCTGTGCCCTGTTTACCTACTCTGTAATCCACCCATGGAAACAGAGAGAGACATCACACCTGAACTCTTAAACATCTATGACTTTTGAACGAGCGTCTGCAGTGAAACACACTGTGTCTTGTCCCTGTGTTCCTAACTCATCCAGTGAGCTTCTTATTCTGATGTCCAGTTGTAAATTGCACTCAGTAAGTGGGACAAAGAAAACTTCAGAGTGCAAGGTTTCCAAATGTGTTGTTGTGGAGATTAAAGGTGCAGTGAGGGCAAAGGTCTGCTGCTGTCAGCTGGGCGAAGACAGATACCAGCCACAGGAGCAGAGGAAGTCGCTGCCGACAGGCACAGGATTCAGCCCATCCCATCATCGCGCTCCACCTCAACTTTTTTCTGTGCATCACCTCTTCCCTGACTCATTTATTTCCTCCCTGCTCTTGGATCAGATTTCCTTAGCTTCCTGCAGTGGATTTAGTTGGAAAGGATGCACATAAATAAACTGGATGTGGCATACAGCACTCCAGGGACTGAAACATGAGAATGAGGAAGAACTGTTGAATTAAAATTGTGAGTGCGCAGTATACAGTGCTGGGCAGTGATGCATTACTTATATTACTTAGTAACACTCATCTAAAGCTGGACTGGTGACCTCTTCCAGCACAGTCCTACTCTTTATCAATTTATTAGTCTTGACTAGGTAAAAGTCAAAAGGACAGAAAAACAATTAGTAATGGAGTCACATATAAAACCAGCTTTAACAACACCAAAAGTATAACAAACCAGCCAGCACTGTTCAGTGTTCACATCTTTCTGATAAGCAAGTTGCTGAGCAATCCTAATGCACTGTGATAACGATAGAAACTTTTCC